ACACAGCTAAACACACTCACAAAGAGCTCACTACACTCAAAAAGGGCTTTAGGGTTAGGAACTATGGAGGCTGGACTGAATGAGGCCAACACCTAGGACTTGAGGTGTTTACATAGGGTGCAAAACTCTAAAATTAGGGTTTTCCTCCTGAACGGTTAAGTCGCCGAGTTGAGACATGTCAATTCGTCGAGACCTGATGAAAACCCGCGTCAAGAAAACTTCTACTCGACGAGTTTAGGCTTCCAACTCGCCGAGTACTCTCCAGGAAATATGACAATTACAAGATAAATTCGTACCGGGAACTAGGCGTTACACGATTCATGACTGTTGTACAGCCCAAAAGCTTAGGTAAATTTTTTTTCATTTATACTTAGAAATCACATTCATGTTTATTATGCAAAATCCCATTACATAACATATTGTTCAAAAGATCAAAGTATCTAAAACAACTAGTGCATAATACTGAGAGTGCTCGCTGCGCGCCATCAAGCCGGGGCTTCCCTTAGAACTAGAAGTACCCGAAACACCAACAAAAGGTAAGCACACGCTTAGTGAGTTTTCCCAAATACAACAAATCACATAATCATATAATGCCATGCACATAACAATAAAGTACATGGACTCCCTCCATGGTCTTCAACCAGGGATGCATGAGCTACCCTATGGTCTTATACCCAAGGGCCATTGGCTCCCCCTCATGGTCTTACCAAGTGCCATGGGCTCCCCCATGCTCTTCACATAAATCAACACATACCAATAACAAACCATTGCATATTCCACTATAGAAATCAGTTATCAAGTAATGGGCCGACATTGGTGCCTTCGACCCATTGGTATAGTGATAAGACTCACCTCAGTCTGCTGAACACAAAAGCTGCTCGACTACTAGCCTAAAATCTCACACGAAACAATATACAAAACACCCTAATTAGAATTGAGTCACAACTTAGACAAAGGCCCAACATCTTAATCTAAGGCCCACTATCCAAGCCCAAAAGTCTAACCTACATTAATGGGCCCAAGATCAATATTTCAAACTATAATGGGCCACATGTCCCAATAAGGCCCAAACATGACATCAACGCCCCAACAAGCACAAAAGTCCAATATCTCCGAATGGGACCAGGCCCAAGGCTGAATAGGGCCCAATAAGCTTGCAAGCCCAACGAAGCCCAACTCTCCTGTGGTGCGTATGCCCAACGTACCACATCAGTACACTTAACGTACTTGACCTTTTGGCCGTACGCATTGCGTACACGACCAAACGCCCAACGTACAACCAACCCATGCACAAAAGTCTATTAAGTGCTTAAGGCTTAAGATTTCAACGTCTAACTTCAGATTCGAGTCTATTAAGATGTCCTAGGGCATAAAGTTGGAAACTTTATGCCCTTGCATGCTACATGGGTCCCCAATAATTCATTTGTCCCATTAAAACCACATTTGAGACCTTAGACTCATGCATGTCTCAATACAACCTTCAAGATGGCAACTTTATGCATCAAGCATGCTCAAGGAGCTTAGATCTAACAATCCTAGCCTCTGGAGTTGCACAACTCACAAAAGAGGGTCTAAGAACCCAAAATGGACTTCATAACAAACCATAACTCAAACTAGCAAAAGAGATGGCAAGTTTTGAGCTTTTTACCTCCACAAGCTTCCCAATGAGCTCCAAATGCAGGGTCCAAAGCTTTTCCACATCCAAGGCTTATTTCCACTTCCTTCTCCTTACTAGAACACCAAAAATGAGGTATTTGAGGCACATCACAACTCAAGAGGCAAACACAAAGGATTTTAGGGTTTTAGGAACGATAGAGAGTGACGGAGGCTGGTTAGGGTAAGGTCCAAATGACTTAAGGACGTTGATGTGTATATAAATGCACTGGTTTTAGTCCTACTTTTAAGATATAATTTAGACACACAAAGCCAGTGGACCTGTCAATTGGTGGTATACTTTAGTAAGCAGGGTATCGCACACGGGGAACGGTAATTAAACGAATGACTAGAATTATCTAAAACAAGTAATAAAATTGAAAGGTTTTCTCTAGTTTTGCAAGACTAGAAACTCAAACAATTAACTAACACGCAAATTAAGTAACTAACAGCTAAAGCAAGTAAAAACCAACTAAATTCAATAATAAGAAGACTTCTGTTTAGGTTCGATTCATTTACTCCTATGGTTGATTTTATGGCAAGTGCAATGGATTAATTGTTGTTGACTATCGATTAAGGTGATTAGGTTCACATTCGCTATTACCAATCCTTAGAAAACAGATCAATTTGAGCAGTGATCAAGTGATTAAACTAATAAATTTCCTAGTTTATTTATTCGGGTTAAATAACACTTGTAGTTAGCTAATCAAATTACTAATTCAATTAACCTCTTGTTGATCGTTTGTCACACAAGCTCACACATTAATTACCCATTTTCTAGTTAACCCTAGTTTCACGTTCGCTATTCCTAGGCACATAACAATGTTTTCACATAAATCATATGAGATA